ACAGAAAGGTTTGCTGATCCCTGGTCTATACCTCTGGAGGCTTGGCCTAGGCAACCTCTTATTAATCCAACATGTCTATGCAAGCTATACACTGTCGCAACTAGTTTTATGGGGGGAAAGAGGGTGCCACTGTTTATGCTGAGGCATTACATACATACAGTAAAGGCACAAATTTAAATGGTAGAAAACATGTTTCTACACGTGTATCACTTGTACAGCCACCTCTCAGATCAAGATACTGTTTCCTGTGCCCCTTCCCAGGCAATACCACAACAAAAGAGCCATTCTTTTATCTTCTCCCACTTAAATCACAGATTCATTTGCTTGTTCCTGAACTTAATGAATGGAACCACGCAATGTTTCACTGCGTGTTAGGTCAGTGGCATTCTCACATCCCGCAGCATGGAGCCACTTGCTCTTTTCCATTGCTATATAATATTCAACTGTTATGACTATGCCAATTTCTGTACCTATCCTTCTGTTGATGGACATCAGGTTCTTTCCAGGCTTTTGCCATGATGAATAAAGCTGCTATGAACACTTGTGCACGTGTCTCTTGGTAAGCATAAGGAGCCATCATCAAAAACTGGAATTTCTGGGTCATAGGAGATATCAACAAACTCTCAGACACTTTTCCAAAGTGGTTGTATTTCTCCAGTACACAAAAATAGTGTTCTGATTCATAAAATACTTTGAGATCAAAAACTGAAAATAGTCCCCTCCAAATTTTTCATATGTTGCTGTTCGTTCTGTGACAGGTGGGCTATCCTGGGGGTTACTGACATGCCAGTTCTAGGCATACAAACCCTAACCATGGCAATGTCTTGGTGCTTTTCAAATTCCTCATTAAATCCTCACCCAAAACACTGTGGGCTAGGTAACCTCAGCGTGTAGCAGATCAGGCAAACAGGGGTCGGGAAGCAGAAATACCTTGACCAAGGTCATACAACTAAATCAGTAGGCTCTAGCAATTTCTCTACTAAAACTAGGTAGACCAGTCTTGCAGTTATCACCAAGACAGAGAAGCACAAGCTTGGGCACCAACACCCTCAGCTCCTGTTTTCTTCTTTAATCACCTTATCAGTTCAAATATAATTAAATTCTGCAAGAGTGCCTGAGTATAACTCCACGTATAGCAGACTTCAACCATTATTATTTCGTTGTACTTTGTACCTGAGGACATTGTCATCCAGCTTGACAAGGGTAGAAAAATAAGGAACTCTATCCACCCTGTAAAAAATCTAACACTGAAAGAGGGCCACAGATCATAGAGTTTCACACAAAGGCATGGGTTTGCAAAAAAAAGAAGAAAAGAAAAGAAAAGAAAAAAAAACCACTTTCTATTTTCTAGTCAAGTCTCTACTGCATGCAGAAGCAGGCTTAAGTGGCATAAATCAGAAAATGATAATGGGAACTGAATGAAATTCTCATAAATCACGTTACTAAGTATAGTTACATCTTAGATGTGAAACCCAATTAAACAGATGGCCACATGCTGTCAGAATCAGCCCCTAATCAATAAAGATGTTCATTTTAGAAAATCACCTCAATTTTTCATTTCTTCAGTGAAGCAAATAGAAGGCAGTTGGGGGCTGGGGGAAGCCCCAGGAAACCCAGTAGGGAAATGTATAAGAAGGAACTCCACCTGTCTTAATTTGTAGTCCAGAAAAATCAGAAAGGAGAGAGGAAAAAAAAGTCACCCAAAGGATTCCTTGTCATCTTGCCTGGGAATGTAATTTACAATGAGAGCAAGCACTGGTCATTAGGAAAATAGAAACAGCTTGAATCTCTTAATTAAAATATTGCTTCAAATTGTTCATCGCAAACCCCCTCTGCTCATGAGCTTTCAGAAACCACTGGGTTACCCTGAAATGGCGGCTTCTTCAGGAAACCTCTGATTGGGTCAGCTCTTCCCAAATAAGAAAAAGGTTGAGCATGGGTAAATCCTGGAGACATACATATTATTAGACATACTTAAATCCCCAAAGGAGCAGTAAGCATTCGCTGACACCGGAAAGTGAGTATGGAAACAGTGGTGAAGAGTCTATCTCAATGCCTTTTCCTGCATAAGGGCTGATTCACTAAACTAGTGAAAATTGCCTACCAATGCAAAGGTGATGAAAATGAGAGTTGACGAAAACACTTCTGTACTTTGGAATATTAACTTTGGAAAACATTTGGTGTTATCTTGTAAAGTTCGGCGTTTGCATACCCTACAAGCCAGTAAATACAGCAGTGCTGTTCATAGCAGCAAACACCTGGGGGGAAAATATAAGTCTATCAACAGAAAAGGTCTGTAGAACAAATAAGTAATCTGGGATACAGTCACATGATGGAATATTACATGGCAGTGAAAATGGAAAAAGCTATTGCCACATGCTACATGAATGAGTCTTAATAACATGTTGAGAAAACAGTTGCTTAGTTTGCATACAATATGCATATCATTCTTATGCTAAAGCAAACAAAAATAAACAATATATTGTTTAGGGATACGTAAGTGATTTAAAACTTATTTTAAAAAACAATGATATCAGGAATGTTCTGGCTCTTGGTTAGTGGTAGATTCACAGGCACATATATGTTTGCTTACACTTTATAACTATGTATGTTCTAGCATGCTACATATATTCATTTGCATGTACCAAATATTATATGAAGCATTTTCTTTTAAAATAGATAATATAACAATTTTGTATTGCTCAATAAGTTATTGCAAGTAATATAACTCATATTATATAATTCATATTGTTATAGTGGTTATAATTAATATCCCTAATGCCATAAAGTTTCCATATGCAGCATAGTTCTCAACTTGAGGCTAGATCAAAACACCATGCTGTATATTGTAAATACAGGCCATTTTTATTTGTCAATTATATGTCAATAAAGCTGAGGGGGAGAAAGCGCTGGCATTTTCATGATAATAATGAATATTTGTATAGTAAAGAGAGACATTCAGAATATTTAAAATATTTAACAACTGACTTAGTTATATAAATTCATGTAAAAATCAAAAATTACTGCCATCTGCTTGTTTTCCTTCTGTTCACTACCCTCCTAGACCAGTTCTGCAGAGACTGCCATTCCCAAATGTGGCCACATGAGGGCGACTCTACGGAGATGTGCCTGCGGAGACCCAGGGCTGCTCTGTTGAGATGACGGCTAGTGCGGTGGAACTTGTGTGAGCTGGCAGGTCACCTCACTGAGAAGGTGGCATTGGAGCAAATACTTGAAGGAAGTGGGAGTGTGAACCTTGCAGACCACTTGGGAAAGTTCTCCTATGCAAAGAGAGCCCAGAGTATGAATGCCAGGAGGGCAAATTGTCTCATGCTTTAGAACAGGAAGGAGGCCAATGTGGCTGGACCAGAGGGGAGAGAAAGGCAGCCTGGTAAGAGGTCTCTGGCCATTGCAAGCAACTTGGCTCTCTGAATGAGACAGGAAGCTGACAACAGGTTCTGAGCAAAGGAGGGAAATGAGATGATTGCAAAACATCTTAAAATGGCTGCAATATTATATTTAGAATAGACTGAAGGGGCATAGGGAGAGAAGCCGAGAAGCGAGTTAGGAGGCTATTACATACAGGTATGGGGGGCATGGTCAACCGTGGCAAGTCTTTATAAATTCCATCCCCCACATTCAACAGACAGCACAGAGATGTGATTAACACCAGGAGATTAGACATTATTGCCAAACGAGGGAGCGAAGATGGAGACCAGAAAAGGTGCAACGGGCAGCGGGAATGAAAAACTAGCGAGGGCTCAAGCAGGAGCGGCCCACCCTCTCCACAACGAGTCACCACCAACCTGAACTTGCCATTTCTCATTCTCGTGAATGTCTTCATACTTTTACTACATATACAGAACCGTCCTGCATGCTTTTCAATCTTATTAACATAGTATCACACTCGATATTTATTTTCCCAAGTTGTTTTTCCTCCACACAATCTAATATTTGTAAGGCTCATCCATGTTAATACATGTCACTCTAGGTCACTCACTCTTCACTGCTACATGGCATTCCTTTCTGTGAACATGCCACATTTGATTCATTTTCCTGCGGACGGGCACGCAGTTTATTCCCTTTTCCCTGTTATTATAAACAATACTGTTATGAGCATTCTCCCATGGGCCTCACTGTATGAGACTTCTCTAGGGCACTGGCTCTCAAACTATGTTAGAGTCACCTTAAGGGCTTAATAAAACAGATTCCTGAGCCCCGCATCCAGGGCACATTTCTAACAAGTTCCCCGGGATGCTGTCGCTCTCGGCCTCAGGACCACACTCGGAGGATCACAGCACTAGGGCACATAAGAAGGATGCAAGTGATGGTCAGAGATATGCATGGACATCTTCAGCTTTCTAGGTGTTGCCAAATTGCTCTGCAAAGTGAATGGACCAATGCACACGTTCTCCAGCAGTGACTGCCTGTCTCTGGTGCCAACGCTTGGTGCTGTCAGATGTGTACTTTGTGCCAATCTGATCTTTAATAATTTTTAAACCTACCACAGCATTTATAATTACATGTGCCCAAAACATGTAAATAAAAGAAACTCAAGGCAACATCCTAGGATTAATCAGGGTATTTCCAAACTTTTCTTATATACAGATAGTCCCCTCAGGTTCTATAATCTTCCCAGTTACCAGCATGTTTTTCCCATCAGTCCTAAAAATAAACAAAATGGTATGGGCAAAATCTGCAAGACCACTATGAGAGGAAAGTGTAAGCTTGCTTCTTTTCATGGCCAACTCCATTTTAGTTGTTTTTATTGTAGGTTGTTGGGGGTTTTTTTACTCAATGGTGATACAAAGTTTAAAAAAACTTCCAAGGTGAAAGGAGTGAGGAAAACTGGGCACATGGGTATGGAAACACTTCCTTCACCAACATACCTGGCCATTTTGGGGGTGAAATAAAGAATGCCCTACCCTTAATCACAGTCATGGAAAAGTTCCTTCCATTTTGTACCACATTTACAAGGTGACAAGAGGCTAAGTACTCACGGATCTGGTTGGTGGATGCACTATAGAAGGCGTTGACAGTTGTTGGATTAGTAAACCACCTGTAGCAAGAGAAACAAGTATCACCAAGTGATCGGCATTATCCAGGCAAGAGGGCAGCAAGAACAAACACAACATGTTGGAATTTGTTAGCAAATAACCAGGGAACAATGGGGATATGGGGCACATGGGGAAATTACCGCTTCGATTTAGGGCTATTGCTCTGCTCAATAAACAATCTCATCCTAAATTGAACATAGCTCAGTGAGAACATATTAATATGCCTGGTTATTCACTGTTAACTTAACAGAAAAAGTCAGTGCCAGTGCTTCTGAAACAGCTTTAATGAGACATCCTAGACTCTAAAGGGCTCTCCCCGCAGATGCAAACACAGCGACAAGCTGATGTTTGCCAGGCCCTGTTTAATGGGTCCACTGGATCGCTCAGTTACTAGGCCGCATAGCCTCTGATCTGCCCGTATTAACAACTTCTGCACTAGTGTTAACCCAGAGGTCCATGTAAGGAGAGATGAATAAAGTACAGCCACGCTACTCAGAGGCTCTGCCTACTCTGGTACCAAGTTTGCTTATTTAAGAGTCAAAAGTACTAACAGCTTGTCCTGCCCCTGTCACCAACGATCTGGGCTGTAGTCAGACAGTTGCCTGCCTTCTTGGGGTTCAGCTTTAGCTGCGAAATTAAGGTATTACATTAGGAGAACTTGGAAGTACCTTCTAGCTATGAAGATTCTACACTCCATTTTATTTTATTTTATTAGACTTTATTTATTTATTTTTAGAGAGGGAGGAAGGCAGGGAGAAAGAGAGGGAGAGAAACATCGGCTGGGAGAAACATCGGCTGGTTGCCTCTCACACGCCCCCAACTGGGGACCAGCCCACAACCCAGGCATGTGTCCTGACTGGGAATCAAACCGGCAACCTTTCAGTTGGCAGGCCAGCACTCAATCCACTGAGCCACACCAGCCAGGGCGAAGAGTCTACACTCCATTTTAAATGTACAGTAGGTTACTTAGATCAGGGCTCAGCAAAATGTTTTGTGTGTGAAGACTCAGATGGTAAATATTGGGTATTTTGCAGGTAAAGAGGCAAAATCAAGAATGTAATGTAGGTACTTCTATAATGAGAGAAATTTTTCCACAAACTTTTAATGCAATTCAAAATATAGTAAGTACAACTTATCATAATACAGGCCTGTTAATGAGAAGAATGGTATTCTGTGGGGACAGGATAACATTTTGCTTAATTGGTGTTCAAAGTTCGTGGTTTCCATTCTCAAACCAACTGCAAACATTTATCTGTAAAAGTCCTGCTTGGCTCATGAGCCAGACAAAAACAGGCAGCAGGCAAGACTTCGCCCACAAGCCACAGTTGCCGACCCCTGACCCAGATGGCGGTGAGCTTCAGCCATCGCCCTTTATGATTAAAACCAAGCAATTCACTTTAAACTAAATTGCTCCAAATAAACTTGTACAAATTCATTTTCAGAACATTTTACTAATTTTATGTTTAATAGGATAATAATTTATGTCAGTAATATCAAACTAGCAGGAAACCCAAGTGTTGATTCTAGTTGGTCCACCCACACCTTCTCCCCACCTATAAGGAAGTTTATGAATATGTCATTTTATTATTATTATTATTAACTAACGTTCATTGAGCACTATGTCCTAAGCACTTTCTAGTCTATTCATAGGCTTTTCTCCATAGCAGCTATAACAATTATTAGATCAATTCACAGATGACAACAATGAGATTTACAAGCATTGTATACTTGCACAAAGTCTAGTCTGTCTGACTTCAAAGCAGTTCTCATAAGTATTATATTATACTGGAGACATTACTGGACATCGAGAAAGAGAGTGCCCCTTCTCCCCTTCTCTTGTCAAAGCCGAAACCTATACTTCCTTTCTGTAAGTGTCTATTTGTTTTTCTCCTTCAACTTTAGGATTAGTATTTCAGTATGCTTTAATGTTTAGCACAAACTAACTGGACTATTTTCCTGAGGAAATAAGTGGGCAGGAAACTACCTTTATGAACCTAATGTTGCTTCCTATAATAGGTAGAATTATGGCTCCCAAAAGGACATGAACATACTAATCCCTGGATCCTGTTACTGCAGGTGTAATTAAGTTTAAGGACCTAAAAATAGGGAGGCTATCCTGGATTATACAGGTGGGCCCATCCAAATCAAACTCTTACGAGCAGAAAACCATCTCTGACTGGAATCAGAGAGATGCAACACAGGAGGAGGAGGAAGCCAGAAGAGATGCTGCAGAACAGGGAGCCAGAGAGATTCCAAGAACGAGAATGATTCCCCACACTGTTTCTGGCTCTGAGATGTAGGGTCATATGCAAGGACCAGAGAGAAACCTCTTGAGGGCAGAGTGGCTCCCAACTAACAGTGCACAAGGAAGGAAGGACCTCAGTTCTGCAACCACAAGAAACTGGGTTCTGCCAACACTTGATGAGCTTGGAAGAGGGTTCTTCCCAGAGCCTCCTGCTAGGAGTCCAGCCAGCTGACGCCTTGATTTCAGCCTTGCAAATCCTGGACCCGAGAAACCGGCCAAGGCAACCCACACTTCTAGCCTACAGAACTGTGAAAGAACACATTTGTCATTTTGAGTTGCTAAAGTTGTGGCAATTTATTACAGCAATAACAGAAAACTAATATACTACCCAAAGAACCAAGCATTTGTATGTCTGCTGTTTGAGTCAAGAGAGGAAGAATCCAGGTGTCTCTCAACTTATCTTTCAATGACATTGGACCGAACATTGTATGTACTGAAGATTAAGTGTATTAACTAGAGTTCATCCCTTCTCTTCCCATTCCCCCAACTCCACTTCCTTTTGCAAAGAATAAAACTTTCTGAACATTAGGGTAAGAGCCATGCAAGGAAAATGTTCCTAACTGCCGATGGGCAAAGGTGGACAAAACAAAGAAATCAACCAACCACATGGGGCCTCTGAAGCTTCAGCAAGATTACCTAAAACATTTTATTTGAGACACATGACCTCACCTTTCCTGACCTCCCAGAGCTCTTGCTGATTCTAGGGCATTTTTGGAGTCTTGATTATACCCAGAGCTCATATTAAGTGGCTGCACCAGTAGATCCTACCACTTATGGATGCTGTTATTTCTTCTTATTGGTCACTGCCCACACCAAAGCAGCCATTAAATATTTTCTATTATCACCCTGATTATATCCCAGTTTATTATACATTTAGATTTATTATTCTCTAATGTAAGAATACCTGTGCTTGTTCTAAACTGTTTGCAATTTTTTTATACTCCTCCCATGAAGAACTGGAATCTAAATTCCTCTCCTCTTGATGATGGGCTAGCCTCGGTGACTCACTCACTGCCAAAACATACAATGCAGTGAAAATGACACCGCATGACCTCCAATGCGAGGCCGCTAAAGACGATTCAACCACCCCCCGACCCCGTGCACCTGCTCTCCCCCTCTCTTTCTTAGAGAACTGGTTCTTTGAAGTTTTGTGCTCAATCAGCATGCTATAAAGGAGCCCAGTGCCCACAGAGCGCTACAGTAGGCATTCCAGCCACCAGTCAGCACCGCCCACGAGCCCTGCAAGAGGAAGCCTCCCACACGGCTCCACTCTCAGTCACTACCTGACTGAGACTACATGAAAGACCATGAGCAAGGACCACCCCACTGAGCCTAGTGACCTGCAGAGCCACGAGAGAGAACAAACAATTACCGCTGTTTAAACCCTCTAAATTTTAGGGTGGCTTTTTGTACAGCGGCAGATAACTGAAACACTGGAAAGTTGCCTGTCCACAGACTTAAGTGCTACCCAATAGGTTGAATTTTCCCACAGAAAATGTTTCGTTTGCCCAACACAATGGTTTCGAGAGATATTGAATTGGAATGCCTTTAAATGAGGTGTACAATCACTGGTGCTCCACAGTCCTCTCCACTCCCATCTAGGTGGTGTGGGCAGATCACTGAATCTATTTAAATGCGTGTATTGCTATGTATTCATCTGTTTGAATAAACAAGGAATGTCGTTCATGTGCTTTAAATTCTTACTATGACTTTCGGGTGTTCCTGCAGGCTATGTCTGGGGAAGGATAAGGGCGGGAGAGGTCTCATATAAATTTCAAATCCAAAAATACAAGGAAATGAAATTATACTGGATACATGGGGTACATAAAAGGACTGTAATACTGAAATACAATAATCTAAAGGAAAAGACATTAGCACCCTGATTTCTTTGGGCCCTGTAAAATAAACATACATCAAGTTTTACATTTTGCCTGTCAACTCTTAAAGATGGTCTAAGGAGTATGGAATAGAAAAACCATTGAGTATTTATTGCTTTATTTCTAATATCCTATAGGTTATATCCTTCCCATTCCATATTATAGATAATGCTTTTGAAAATAAAAATTCTGAGCAGGACCATAATTTGTATAGACATTTGATGTATTTTTGCATATTTTTCAGAAGAGAGAGAAAGAAAATCCAGCAATGTTTAGTCACAGGGGAGTGAGAGTGAGTTAGTAGGGAAGCTCAGTTAAAATCATTTCTGTCAAAGAATGGGGATCCTGAGGGAAAGAAATTACTTTTGAGTCAAGCTGAGAAATGAAGTAAATCCTCCACTTTTAAGCAAGCTGATGAAGTGACAATTCTGAGAACCAACCCTAGATATGTACCTTCAGGGATGACCATCCAATTAATTTCATTCTTGCTGACATTTATCATCACATTAGAAACTTCTTAATGCACATTAGTGCAGCAAAAATGGATTCCATGAGGATGAAAAATAAAGGGTATTTATCTCCTACACTCACAAAGAGGCAAAATGTTATTTCAGAGCTTTGTAAAAAGATAATCACGATATGCCGTACTAAGTGAACTAGTGCAGTGGAGATACTCCAGAATTGTTCCCACTCGATTAAGTCATAAACTTTCAGACCTAAAAGATGTCAATTGAAGCGAGTGGGTATCATGAAGCTAAAATTAACTACCATGCCTGAAACGAACCAACCTAAAATTTTTTTTTTAGAAAATTAGCTATTATATCACTTAACCACGTAAAAAGGACCTTAAATTCCTTAATGATGCTTTCCCTGAAATAGACATATAGTCAGAGGAAACAATAATTACTGGCATTGTACTGATTTTACATTTCTGGAGAACTTTCCAGAAACATTAACCAATTCAATGTCCTTCTGAAAGAGGTATTTGTTTTCATTGACAAGAGAATAAAACCATGCAAACCAGTTTTTCTCAGCCCACAAAGTCAGCCAGCATTTTTCCAAGGCATGAATAAAAAAATTAGGACTAGCCAAGGCTGTTCGAATCTGACAGCCCATCAGTATTTTAGGATGATGTTAAAGATGATACATTTAGGAGTTTTTCAATTAGCAACCCAGGCTTTGCTACACACCCAAATGAGTAACATCATTTTGAAAAGAATTAACTTGGCAGCATCTCCAATATGGAGGAATCCCTGAGAAGACCCAGAAATTTCACAGAAACACTGGTAAGAGCCTTGAATTTTCCACAAGTGGCACAAAAAACAAAAACAAAAACAAAAAAAAAAAAACCCGACTTTGAACTAACGTGAAGTACTATGGATCTGAAAGGGCAGGATGATATTCATAGATCTATGACTACCATACTATATGTAGATGCTCATTGGGATATTGGAAACCATCTGCTGAAGTCACTGGATTTGAGAGGCTAGTTTTGGACCCCTAAATGCAAAACTGCTATTGAATAATTTTGGTTGAGAATAAAGTAGGAGAGACGGCCTAAGAGATACCGCAATGAGAAGAGAGAACCAAGGACAGCGGAGCAGCTGGCTTTAAACCAGCTGTCATTTCCAAAGAAGCTCTAAAGCCTTCTGCTTTCTTCCTGTGTGCTTCTGACCAGAGTCAGGGACAGGTAAGGGAGTGGACTGAGCTTAGGCCTGCTCCTTAAGTCGAACTCTTTTAACGGTGTGGATGTGTGCTTGTAGAAAGGCTTGAAGGGCAGGAGGCAGGATTAGCTAGATGGGAATCACGACGCAGAGGGAGAGGTGGCAATCACAGCTTAAGCCAAGGGAGGGTATGGGAGCCAGAGTGTCCAGAGGCCAGGACAGAGCAGGGAGCCGGGAAGAGTAGCATGAGACCCAGAGAGCATACAAAGGGCCAGCCAGACACACAGAGGCTGGAGAAAGCAGCCAAGTTTGATAAAAGTGGGCCATGAAGAGAAGGGGGCACAGGCGCCAGGCTTCCAGCCAGGATGCTACAAAAAGGTCAAGAAATCCTTTCTGCAAAAATCAAGTATAAAACTGGACAAGGTTGTCAATAAACAACAATTAGGGCTCTGAGAGTAGATCAAAGGCAAACAACAACTCAAAAAAAAAAAAGGTTTAATTTTGAAAAACTGCTAGAGCTGGAAGAAAGTAGAATAGGAGCCCATGGCCATCTAGCCTGGGACTGCTCCCATCCCTCCCAGGTCTGTCAGTGAGAACTTAGCTTTATTAGCACAGAGCTGACTGGAGAATCAGCAGCTTCGCTGCCACAGGGGGTGGACTCAATTGGGAGTAAAGATGAAAACCTGCAGCTTTGTCAGCTAAAAGTGGTGACCTTGTTAAAAAAAAAAAAAAAAAAAAAAAGAGGAAAACCCACAGCTTTGCTAGCTTGAAATTAGAGTTCCCATTATAGGGAGAGCAAAGGACCAGCCAGAAATGTAAAAGGGAGACCCTGGAACTAAAAGAGTCTCACAGATAAAGAGCAGCTCACCACACAGCCCCAGCTGGCTGCAACACCAGGTGCATGCACGGAGGACACCAGGGGGAGCTAAGTAAGGGGTGAAACCCAAGGCCGGCTGAGAGCTGGCTGTGACTTCACCCTCCCCACCCCCTCAGCTGGCGGAGGGGAAAAGGCCTACAGGCTAGAAGCGTTTGAGCACGAGCTCTGTCCTGATTCTGTGGGCACTAAACTATGCAGACACAGGGACAGACTCTAGGAAGTGGGGCTCAAAAATACAAATGGTTAACAAGTTTCTCTTGAGGGCAGGCCTTGTTAGGGTTGGAGGGGTAGAAGGACTGAGCAAAAGAGAGAAAAAAAAAAGAACTCAAGGACAGGGACAACAGTGTGATGATTGCGGTGGGGGTAGGGGTGGAGTGGGCAGAGGTGGAAGATGGTAAATGGTAATGGAAAAAATACAAATAAAATAAAATAAAATAAAATAAAATAAAATAAAATAAAATAAAATAAAATAAAATAAAATAAAATAAAAAGAATTTTTTAAATGAGCAGAGACATTCATGGCTACATACTATAGGGGAGACAGGTTCTGCAGTGCAAGCCCAGGGAAGTTACTTTTTTTTTAATTAATTATTTTTTCCAAATACATTTGTCTCTGCCTACCCCCCACCACTTTCCCTTGCCCCCTCCCTCCCTCAACTCTTCCCCTTTAGTTTTGTCCATGAGACCTTGCTATATGTTCCTTGACTTCCTTTCCCCTTCCCTTCCTTTTCCCCCGCCCCCCTCCCTCCTTCCCTCTTGTCTCTGTTGGTTTCTTTTCCTTTCAGTGTTGCTGGTCTTATTTTCCTTGCATCTTTGTATTGTTGGTTAGGTTCCACTTATAGGTGAGATCATATGGTATTTGTCTTTCACCCCCTGGCTTATTTCGCTTAGCATAATGCTCTCGAGTTCCATCCATGCTGTCGTGAAGTTTAGTAGTTCTTTTTTTCAGGAAAGTTACTTTTAAAAAGCCTCAGAAAAAGAAATCAGAATCCACAGTTTCTGTAATATTTTATCTGAAATATCATTTTCTTTTTAAAATTAATTAATTTATTTTTTCAAATACATTTGTCTCTGCCTACCCCCCACCACTTTCCCTTGCCCCCTCCCTCCCTCCCTCCCTCCCTCAACTCTTCCCCTTTGGTTTTGTCCATGAGTCCTTGCCATATGTTCCTTGACTTTCCCCTTCCGTTTCTTTTCAACACGACAAAAAATTAAGCAATGCAAAGAAAGACAAAAGTATAAAACAAAAAAAAAGTGCAATCATTAAAAACTGGCTCTGAATGAGCCCACATGTTGGCTTAGGTGGACAAAAACTTGAAAGTAGCCACTAGAAATTAGCTCCAAGAATTAAAATAAGCTATATTCAAAGAATTAATGGAAAATATGATGACAATGATTCAACAAATCACAACAGAGACAAAAAATAATCCAAACAGAAATTCTGTAGTTGAAAAGTCCAATAATCAAAAGGAAAAATTTACTAGATGAGTCAAAAGCAAATTTGAGAATGCGCAGGGAAGCATCAATGAATGTGAAGACAGATCAACAGAAATTATCCAGTCGGGAGAACAGAAAGATAAATGCATTGGAGAAGAGGGCCACAGCAGAACAGAGTTGAAAGTACCAGCCAGCCAGAACGAAAAGTCATCTACACCGAAGCTGAGGAATTTCTCAATTGTAAGCCTCTTGTTCATTTGTGAAATGGGGATAATAAATACCACCCACACCTCACAGCACCAAGAGGATAAAATGAATTAAAACACGCAGAGCGCTCCCAGGCACACTATAAAGACACAGCAATTGTTAGCCGCCACCACTGTCGTCATGGCCATCGCGCCCGTTTTGCTAAAAAATTTTGGGCAAAAAATCACAGCCAGCCTGACCCCAAAGTTCCTAAGAAAACCTTCGTACCTGTAGGGAAAGTTCCTACAGGCAAATGGGAAGAAGGGGAATAAATCATAACTACTATTGGAGGAAAACAACAGAGCTAAAGTTTCTTTGACATTCATCACCTTAATTTATATCATCTAGTTATTTAAAATTACACAACCACTTCTGTATTTGTATTCATACTTTATTTTTAAAATATCTGTTCTTTTTGAATATCTTCAAAAGTTTCTATCTGAATGTGACATTCTAGAGAAAAAAAAATATATATATACATACATACACATATTTATCAAGATCTAGAAATGATTTGAACTCTGGCATCCTAAGAAGCCTTCTTTTCCTATGTGTTGATGCTAGGAGGGAGGGAGCCATATTGAACAACTGACTCATATAATATCAGAAATAAGATGCCAAAACATAATACAGATTTTGCCAAAAAAGATAACTGGCAAGCCAGCTACTCTGACTTGAGGGGAATTACAAAGTTTGATCTAAAGAGAATCCACTTCCCACCAACAAATTTCTCTTTCACTTTTTTTTTTTTTTTTTTTTTACTCACTCTGTTTTTGGCACAGCTTTTCTCAGCCAGAAGAAATCAGACTGTGCTAAATACTTGCGGGTTTGCAAAACGTTGCCAAAGTAGTCCGATTCTGAAAACTTGATCTGAATAAAACAAACCACAATAGTCATTGTTCTAAGCGCAGATAAGAGGTGGCTCTGAAAAAAGACTTCAGCACACAAAGGAGCGAGCAACAGAGAAGCTGCACTCCTCACAGTACCTCTCAGCCATCAATGGTCAGCCCAGGATTCACACAGCCATGAAATTTAATCTCAGTGATTTTCTTTTAAAATAAAAAGCTCAAAAATCAATATGGTCATTTTTGGATCACAGTGAAAAACAAGAGAAGCTGCAATGATTTACACTGTGTTTCATTTGCTTTATAATCGAAAAATCTACTTTAACCCTTACAAAACATATTATCTTAGGTTTGAAATTTCTTGGCCCACATGATTCTTTGATCTTTTCTAAAATGTATACTTTATTTATTTGTCATGTAGGTTCTTCTAATAACATTCAGTTTCGTCAGCTGAAAGCTCATTTAGCTTATTGATGATGATTTGGTCAAATGTTAAATCTAATTTACTATAATCAACATTTGCTCATGAAGGAAAAAAAATGGAAGCTATTCAGAGACTTATTTTCCATGCCAAGCACAATGGAATCACCAGAATAATTTAATTATTAATAGAATTTATCACTTAACACTCAAAAATGCTCTGGTCACCAAAGATTAATGAAATTACACAAATAAGAAGTCACACCTTGCATGGAAAAACAGAAAGTTATTGACTCACAACAATGTTGTCTATCAAAATAGGGAAACAGACATAATTGATTCTTGAGTTCTTTTTCTTTTTTGGAAGAAAAATGGCAGGCAGTTTCAATTCTATAGGTACTCCATATATAAAACTAGCAGTATTTAAAAATTTTTGTAAAAAATACCTGTGTAAAAGTCAAAGCAACGATTTGTAATGATCTCTAGTGTTTTCGTTTTAAAATACAATACTGTAGCAATTAAAATAAGAAAAATACACATTTGAATAAGCAAATAATCAAAAAGAGTAATCAAAGTCTTATTAGTTGTAATATTTTGTAAATGTAAACTATGACACTCTTTTAAAAGTAAAAATTAAAATACAGCAAGTGAATATACAGGAAACCCAAGGGATCGGAGTACAGATATGAATGTGTATATACAACTTGACCATTATAGACTTGACAGCAGCCTATTTGTTAGCCACTGTCTGCCTTGGGTTATCTGTTCCCTAACATATGGTGGGTATGTATTACGTCTGTAGAGTAACTTTTGTTAGTGATTCATCTTAACAGTCTTTCAGGGGGCCAGGCCAACATACAAAGAAAGGAGTTAAGCAACTAAAAGCACAGGGAGAAAGGTAGGAATGAAAGTATCAATTCCTGGCATCCTTGGTGTTCCACTTGCCCGACACATTATAAGGATATAACTTTAAACTGTCCCTCCCTCAGTCCTCTTATGGAGTTAGCTGATAAATACATTGTGGTTTAATCACATAATATAAACCAGTTTAAACAAACAGTCTGTATGCATGAACATAAGATACTCTCAAAAGCAGTGCTAAGTAAGACAAGTGTATGTATGAGAGGATTTCAAGTTTTATAACGTGTAAAACAATATCATATGTTGATTATAGAGAGGTACCTATGTAGCAAAAGCATAAAGAAATGCATGAGAATGACAAACACTGAATTCAATATAGCATTTTTACCTAGGGAAGGCAGCAGACAACAAGGAAGAGCATTAGGTCAGTGACGATTACACAAAGGATTTCCAATGTATTTGTTTTATTCATTTAAAATGTATGTGTGCATGTATAAAGCTAATACAACAATATGTTTAATATTTGTTAAAGCAATTTGTTCAAAATATGATTTTGCATACTTTCCCAATGTTTGAAATTCTTCATAATAAAAAGAGATCTTACCATCAAGTCTATTTTAAGATAGATGTTTATACTCAGCCTCAGAACACTCAAGAGTAAGCTCCTTGTTTTACGAAGCAACCTCAGCTAGCAATCCCAATGCATTTCCAAACCATATAGTTTAAAAAACGTGTGCACTGTTCAACCCTTAGCTTTTCAGTCTGGTTCCCAAGATAGCTCTGCCGGAACTCTCAGAATGATTGCAACTGATAGAAAATTCAGATCTGTTCTTGGGCTCAGAACACTTTCCATGTTCTCCCAAAGGAATTTCCTTCAAAAATATCAACTTTTTTGTAATATCAGTGAGGCCTGTTGTTACTTTTAGAAGTCTGCTATTTGTGAAATTATCCTGTTAATCTGAGAAGAAAAAACTTGATATTCAGGTTGTTCTACAAGAGATATCAAAAGAAAAACGATCCACAAATTTCCTAAAGAAGAGTCCTATGTCTAAAAGTTCTTTAAGTATAAGGTCCTATCACAGCCATAAAAAAAATAACCATGAGAAGCAACACTCAGAGGTAAGCAATCACAATTTCCCCACGGCTTATCACCTATGTTTAGAAGAAAAATTTAAAAACTTTTATTAAACTGAGAATATTTGCAAGTTCCTAGCCTGGTTTAGTTGATGTATTCCATTTATTTAATGTAAGTCACAGGTGATAGGGGACAAATTTTTCCTGTGAGACAGGTTAAGTGTGGGGGTAGAAAGGGGCCAGCCAGTTATTACCTGGTGATGGATGGGACACAGCACTAGAGTAATTATGCACCTTGGCAAAGCTATACGGTCCAAACCATTAGGTTCCTACTTCAATGTTATTTTCATTGGTCCTAATAGGAAAACCAGTGATTTAACAGACAGAGTACAGGGAAAGAGGAGGAGAAGGTAAGAATTACGGTGAGAGGAGAAGCAGTGACTAAATAAATCATGGTACAATTTACTTAACACATGTAGTAGTTAAAATGGTAATGAAGGCTACAGAAGACAAGGACAAAATAATATGTTAACTATAAAGATCAGTATACAAAATTATATATAAATATTACAGTGATAAAAATACACTAAAATGGATGTATTATTATATTTGAGTATCAATATTAGGGGTGCTGTCTCATTCCTTTTCTCTATTTCCAAAATTTCCATCATGTGATAACACTTTGATAATTCCAAATATTTTACAGGCCTTTGAGTGAGAAAAAACTATGAAACAGCAACCACTGGGAGAGCTCCACTTGTAGAGACCACAACAAGAACGAATGCACGTTAGTATTTTAAAACCACTTGTAATCTTCAAAAGATGTTTAAACTCCACAAAGGACAATAGTTGGCTCCAAAGCCTCTTGTCCTTTCAGTTACTGGTGAAAATCAAGGTCAACTTGGTACTGACTTTTAATCAATTCTGTCTCCTGACTTTTCAACTGAGTGACCTTTGGAAAATTAATTAGGGCTCTTCTGTCATTTCCTAGGAACAGCTGTCCAGATCATGAAATGTAGGGGAATCTGAATTTCTCACTAAATCCCACAGACTAAATAGAAAAATAAAGCTATTCCCTCACCAAAGGTGAAGAACAGGTAATAAGGGCAGAACAAGGAAGTGTGCCCAGCTTCTGTGCAAAATCACCAAATATGTGTTCATTAAACGCTACATAAGCCAATAGGATGTACACATTCTAAAATACTTTTTGCTTATGTTAAATCCATTTAAAGATACTTAGAGACATATCCAAATGTGTATAAGAAAGATTTTATATCAGGCACACTAAAAATTTTCTGAATACATAATGGAACCAGATTTTATATTTACATTTTCCCTTATTTAAATAGCAAAATAATATGCAAAACTGTTTTGTTTGGATGGCTCTGCCCATAAGTTGTGTGTGTGTGTGCGCGCGCGCGTGCACGTACACCTACATTCAAAATGTTAAACCCACATACATGCTACACTGCGGAAGATGCAGTTCCCGCAGCAGCCACGTAAGGGGGGGCAGTAGTTAGCACATTTGCCCCAACTAGATGGAACCAGATGCCCTGTCGCCACCACCAGGGGTAGAGGGAAGTCTTGGTTTGCTCTGGCCAGTGGAACACCCTATGAAGGCCAGTGTGTGGGAGTTACGGAGGGCTGGCTGGAAGGTTGGTGGGTGCCCCCCTCTCATGCCCACTCGTGGCTCAACAGGGCCATGGTGCCCAGCGATCGCTTGGGAGAGCTGAGGGCAATGTTTTTGTTTTGTTTTGTTTTGTTTTACTAAACAGTACAGAAGTACCTGTATGTTTTAACAACCTGTCTTTATAGAGCATGTCACCTAATGTTACTTCACTCTTGCATAGTGGCATGAGCACTTCTGAACACACATAACACACACAATGCATAAAAATACTGATATATTTATATTCTCTCTCTCTCTCTCTCTCTCTCTCTCACACACACACACACACACACACACACACACACACATATGAGTGCTCCACTGGCCAGAGAAGACAAAGACCCATACCACAGAATATTATATTGGTTCACATAATATCTATGTATCTGTATATGCATATTTCTATGTATGCGTACTCATATCATTCACCAGAAACACTGATCTTTTCTGAAAACTTACCCATATCCAATTCTCCCAAGTAAATGGAGGTCAGCTGTGAGTCTGACTTTAGTCCCCGCTACACTTATCCATTGGCTTTCACAGGAATGAGTGAAGTGCCTAACGATGCCATGTATTTACCTACTGTGTCTCGGATGCGTGCCCAGCCTTTTCCTCTGTTTTGTGGTGCTGGGGCTGGGCATGTGAAGCTGCTTCACAGGGGCCATTGCCATTTGGCTCCCTGCCAACAGGAGGGACTGGGGGAATCAGCAGGTGGCAGGAGGGGAAAGAATGCTGTGCTTGGGCTCTCTCATTCTCTGGCTCTCTTTCCTCTTTCTTCTTCCAACAAGGACTCTGGAAGCATTTCCACTCCCCCCACACCATAGCCCCAGTTGGAGTAGCAGTTCCTCTTCTCTTCTCCTAAATGATGGTGCCATCACTTCCTCCCTCTTCTGCCCCTAGACGCAGGGGTGAGAGTAGCTTCCTGAACTTACTAATCTCTGGTTCACCTTCCCGATTTTTGCCTTCCAATGTATTTCCTGTATTAAATCTCCTCTCTTTGAAATACTGTGCTTCTGGATTCCTTGCCGAATGAGTCATTTTCCAAGTTGGTATCATACTGCTCTTAAGTCTATTTCCACCAAGGATCAATGAAGGAACACTTAATAAGGCTAAATTTGAAAGTGGACCGACCCCTACCTTTTTAGGCCAACTAATAGGCTTTCCTCCATTTCCTTTCTTCTTGCTCCTCAAAGACTACAGAAAGATTATTATTCAGAAATAATTTGGGGGGTATCTCAATTTACCTTGTCTTCTTCAAAGAGGGTAAACAACAAATTTTCTCTAATTCTTTACATTTGCCTCTAAGTTCTTTTCCATTTGCTTTTATCTGCACATAATCCCAACTTAAGTTTTCAACCTTTCTCCTTGACCTTCATCTGATCTGTTACCTAATGTCTATCCTCTTTCCTTTTGCATTTGTACCTGATGAATCATATCTGCACTTGTGTCAAATAAACTAAGCTGTTTTTCATTTCTAAAAGCCTCTCATGCCCAGAGTTTGTACAGCCAGACATATCCTGTAGGCCTGATAGTAGTCCTTATCTACATGTTTCTCAAAACTGAAAATACAGCCCCATTGTGTACCCGGCAATACTTGAGTCCTTTTGCTATTAACCTCAGTGACACTATTACTATCACATCAAGCATCCTTTACTATTCTCAGGTTGGATTTTATTCATTTTCTCTATCAGTTTCCGAACACAACTGTATTTTTATTTCCTCTATTTGAATTTTTTTTCACCACCTATTTTTTACAGTGTTAGAAACTCTTGGGTGTGATTGTGCCTGCTTTGGCAATGAGTCACCTGAAAGCCATTTCTTCACAAACATGCTTAAAAATCTCAGTGTCTAATGGGTTCTGCTCAGGCCCTGGAGAAATGAGGGAACATACCCAACACTGCATCCTGTTTGGCACCTGGTTTCACTTCACAAAAGGCACTGCATTCAGTGAGTCCTTCAATTTGGGGCACTGACTTTAAACAGTAGCACACTGCCAACAAAACTTGATGAACTAAACATTGTGAATGAGCTCTAAATGCTATCTTATTTGATTAAAGCTTGAGACTGTCGCATTCGTACAGCCTTTTAAAATCAATTCGGGGCATCTGGATACTGTGTGAGTTAATTAATGATGATTTTTCCAAACCAAAATAATTTACTATCATAAATGCAAATTGAAGATGTCATAACTAACACTTATATTGTGCTTATTGTGGATGAGGGTCAGTTCTAAATATGTATGTTAACTTCTCTGATCCCCACACCAGCCTTATAAGGGAGGGATTATTATCATCTCCATTTTAACATGAGGAAACTGAGGTACAGAGATCCTAGGTCACACAGCTAGTAAACAGTAGATCACTACATCAAACTGCCTCTCAAGTTTTGTTTTCTGTACCCTTGGACTTAGGATGTTTGCCAATCACATGTAACTGTGCAGGTTCCCTTGCTATGGTACTCTGTGCCCTAGTGATGCTCTTCTTAGCAGCGACAGTTCTCATACTGATCCTCATTTATAGGAAGCTTACATATGCACCAGACATTATGTTACGTGATTTTTACATTTATATCATGCCCTTTAATCATCCCAACAATACTACGACTTGGTTATCAACATCTTCGGTATCCAGATAACCAAAGGGAGGTTACATGAAGTAATGTAACCTGCACAAAAGCAAACAACTAATAAGTGAAGAGGCCAAAAGCCTGTGCTCTTAACCACTTGACAATATGACCTCTTCTCTCCTGTTCTCACTTCCAACCAGACCTAGGCAAGCAGTTCCCACCAATTCTCCAAACCCACTCCGCTGTCCCTCCAGTGAGGCTGCCTGACTAGGACCCTGCTGAACCCCTCCCTCCTCAAATTACAGGCAGAGCCTCCTGGGTCCAGATTTCAGTCGTGGCTCTAACACTCTGTGGACTCAGGAAATCACTCCACTTTGAGTCTCTATTTCTTTTTCTGCAAAATGGGGCTAAGCACCGTCTAACTTCACAGGATCACTGTGAGACTTAAAAGAGAACACACATGAATGTGTCAAATGCATCAGTGTCTTTATCATAATAATGGTGAGATTTTTCATTATCAAAATAGTGTATAATAAGATGGGCTATCTGAGCTTTGGGATACTGCGAAGCATAATTATCTTCCTGCATAGCAACCGGATCAATACTTTAGAAGGCCGTATCTTGGAGGCCAATGGAGAAACTTTCTAATTAAAGTGTTCTCTCACTTTTGAGTAATTTTGCAAAACTCTGATATTCATCTCCAAAGCTGGGATTGCTTTCAGATATGCAACTTGTCAAACCTCAATTTCAGGAAAGAGCTACACCTCAGAATCATCTTTATTTAAAGAATTCCACACCAAAAAAAACACCCTACTTTTTCAAGAAAATCCAGTGAGTGTTAAAAACAGGGGTTTGTGAGGAATCAAAGTTCTTTATCAGAACTATTGATAGGAAAAGAAATAACAGTGGCTGCGATTAGAAAGGCCTATAATGAATATATCTACTGAAAAATACATGTCCCAAAATATAGAATAAAAAAGGAATTACTACTATCATTAACTTACTGAAAATACGGAGTCCAAATCACAATAAATTATAGTCAAATGTATATGCACTTAATTTGCAGAAACACTCATAAAGTTTAATGAAGTTAACTCCCAGCTAGCAGATTTATTACTAGCCATTTAATATGAATGAAGCACATAAAGATTGTTTAACAACAAACATCATACATTCACCATTAGAACATGCCCACTAATTGTAAAATACTCGATTTGCTTAATTCTTTCCTTTATGATAAAAGCAGGCCAAATCCAAGTCCATTTGCTTTATGGTACCCACTCAGCTATACATTCCTTCCAACACTTCCTTTATTTTGAATCTGCTCTAAATCTTGTGATACGCCTGGCATATTGAGGCTCATATCTAGCCAAGGAATGAATCAAAAGTTGGTGCTTTCTGGCACCACCAGGTTTAATTGCTTGGACTTGGGTTAGTTGAAAGGCATGAGGCCAGTAAAACTTGCCAGAAAAAAAAATACAGTAAATTTAGCACTTACTGCTTTGAGGTCTTCATTAACATGAGTATCATTCATTATAAACTCAGGATAGCCAACTTTTGCCAAAACAGCTCTTGCCTATAAAAAGGAGAAAGAAAAATGATGTCAGAGTTTCAGCACTTAAATCATTAATAATCACAGGATTTAGGAAAGCAATCTTCATCTGAAAACTCCATGTACTGAATATCTACTATACGCAACCCGCTGTGAAGGGCAAAAAAAAAAAAAATTAAATTAGTCACTGCTCTAAAATACTAAAAAATTGAGCGAATGTAGCAGATAACTATACATAAGATAAATAAACGTTTTAGTAGAAATAGACAATATTGTTATCAAAATCCAGAGTGGAGGTTATTTCCCTATGGAGAGAATGCTTAATGGAGAAGGGGGCAAACTGAGTCTCAAAGAATGGCCGGGATTCAAACTGCAGAGCTGAGCAGAAGGACACTCCAGGAGAGGCGGCAGCAGGGGCAAGTCAGGGAGATGGAGACCAAGGGCATGTGGGAGAGGTGGCAAGTGACTGCTGTAGTTGGACCAGAAAGCACAGGAGTGGGGAGCAGAAAGCAGTAGAGAAAAACTGGCTTGGGCCAGATCACAGGCATTCCCGAATGCCACGCTACAGCGTCTACATTTTATTTCACAGGTAACAGAGAACAAAGTATTTTTAGTGAGAGTAAAATGAGAGGAGTCACCCTTCAGCAAGATTATCCGTGCAACGTTGTGAATGATGAGAGACTGGAGGCAGGGGTCCAGGCTAATGTAGGATGCACCATAACCGGTCTTGTGATAACCACCCTAATTACTCCCTGTGTTTTACAGCACATAGGGAATGGATTTAAAAAAAAATCAGGTTAGATACATACAAGGAGTCTCCATAGCAGGGACTGGCAAACTATGGCCCCTGGGCCAAATCTTGTCCTCCCTCCCCGTATGTCTTTATAAATAAACTTTTAGTGTAACACTGCCATGCGCACTCACTTACATGTAATCTATGGCTGCTTTTGCACCTCAGCGACGCTGTTGACTAATTGGAACAGAAATCCTGTGGCCCACAAAGCCTCAAATATTTACTACGTGCCCTTTATAGAAAAGGTTTTCCAACCCTTGCAGTTCTGAGTGAAAATTTTTCTCTCTCATTGTTGGGGCTTTTCCCCAAGTCCCCTGGGATCCCTTTAATCACTTCTGTACATCCCTCCCCAGCATCTGTGTTCTTTTTCTTCTCTAATAACCAGCGCCTGAGACTCTCTGAAGGCCCCTGCAAGTTCACCTGCCTCCAAACACACCCCAAGGCCAGCGGCCCTCAGCCAATGACTGACTGTGCAGGGGAACGAAAGCCCAGCAGCTCCTTTGCCGCAATTCGGGACAAACTGCGAGGTCTGATTGGCACTGCAGAGTTCCAGCAGGACCGGGGAGTCTGAGACTTCCCCTCAAATTTCACCCTACCGGTCTCTCACCCTTCCCTGTCTGGCTTCCCGTTTGCCTGCTGGTTGCTCTTGGGAGCACTGGCTGAATAAATCATAAACCACTTGCACAAGAATCCACATCTCCAGCTTTGCCTCCAGAAGACCCAACGTAAGACTCCAGGCAACCCCAACCGTGCTGCTTCCATCCCAGCTAAGCAAACGAGTGACCTTCGCACACTGCTCTTGGTAACAAGGTTTTTCCTCTACTCCCTTTTCAATTTTCCTCACTCAGGAAATAAACAGCGTAAGGTAGTACATCCTCCTTATCTTCCTTGAGATAATTCAACTATTAAATATCAGCAAAAATCTGAAACTCAAGACTCAAAGGATTTCGCAAGTGCCGCAGGACACGGTCATAATGGGCTTTTGCTGTTCCAGAGACTCCAATGTGGCACAGATCAAATTCTGCCTTCAAAACCCTGTGAGTTACGTTGAAAGCCTGATGTGAGCTGGGTACCAGAAAACTAGAGGTTACAACTCTCTCAAAACTAAGCAATACGTCATGTGTATAATTTACCTTGTCCCAAAGTGTGTTTATTATTATCCTCATTGTATTTAATGCCTCACTGTACTTTATCAGCTCTTCACAAGCCACAGGCATTAACTATAGCAAATAAAGAGCTCCAGACAGTTTCCCCCAAATAAAAACATATACAAGCTGAGTCATCCACAATTGTTTTCTGAATGCTGGTCTCTCCAAAGCAAGCTGGTGAATTATGCATTGTTTTACAGACCTCATACTCTAGGACCCCCACTGCATTATGGAGCTTCACAGAATACATTATCTTCTGCCCTAGATATGCAGGTCACTGAATCCTTTGTTTTTATTTATTTAGCAACACTATGACTTGATGAGAGCAGGAACAGAGATACAAATAAGCCTTATCCATCTCCCAAAGACAAATAGGTGGAGTGGAATAAGGTAATAACACTAGTAGCAACATTGCCAACACCTGAATAGAGTGCTCTTCTGCCCAAAATGTGCTCAATAAATGCCTTTATTCAAATTCAAATGCTCCTTCTGACTGACAGTCTGTTGTCAATTCCACGTCATCCCACTCCAGCCCATTCTCCATTCTTCCCTGAGAAGCTTCAGAACTACATCTCTCAAAATCCATGGGCACAGCTCCAGATTAGACTCTGCCAATGAGAAGCACTAGCAGGAGATCCAAAAGGTAGAAGGAGCTGCCATTTACTCATTCATTGTTGGTAGCCATGGACAGGCACAAGGGCATTTGTAGACAGCAGATACGAACCTTTGCCAGAAGCTTCCAGACATTCTCCTGAGAAGACCCCTTTTGTGTGAGGGCAGCAGAAGTCACCGGCAGACTCTGCCTTCACTCCTCAGTCTTCCCAATGGTTGCATAAGCCTCCAGTTCCCCACATTACATATCTTCCTGTTCAATATCCTTAGAAGGGTATTCCTTCTCCTGAATAAATGCTGATATACCTTCCAAGGCAAATACTGATCACATCATTTTTTTAATCCTTACCCAAGGATACATTTACTGATCAGAGAGGGAAAAGGGAGAGGGAATAGAGGGAGGAGAGGGAGAGGGGAGGGAGGAGAGGGAGAGGGGAGGGAGGAGAGGGAGAGGGGAGGGAGGGAGGGACAGATACATCAGTGTAAGAGACAAACATCGATTGGCCTCCTGCACATGCCCCAACCTGGGATTGAACCTGCAACCTAGGTAGTGTGCCCTGATTGAGAATCAAACCTGTGGCCTTTTGATGTATAGGACAATGCTCCAAACCAACTGAACCACACAGCTAGGGATGATCATGTAACTTCTTTTTTCCCAGAATAAAAGAAATGAAGACCAACGTGCTTTGTTGAACGGTTAAGTATTAGTGAGGCAGGGCTGAAATCAATTATCTCATGGGCCACACGGGCAAGAAAGAAAGGCAAGCCCCACTGCAAATACTGAGAAAACAGTGGTATAAATGGATAGCAGACTGTATATTATGTCCTACAAAAAATATTTCCTAGGCTGCTTGTGGCTGATCAGAAACTCCAAAGTCTCCTTAACCAGTGCATGCATTTCCATCCCTTATTCACACAAACTTCTGGAAATGGGTTGCTCTCAACAACCGCCCATGATAACTGCCTACTGTCTACCCAATACCCACCCTCCTTTTCTTGCCTTACTATCAGACCCAAATTCTGCTCTGGTTGACAATGGATCCAACAAAAAATAGTTGCACTTCCCAGCTTCCTTTGCAGCTAGAGTTGACTATGCGATGAGATTCTGGCCATTGACATACAACAAAGTCCTTGTTCCCTTCCAAGAATCCATTTTAAAAGAGGACAGACTCGGATGGCATATGCTTTCTGCCTTTAGACCAGTTTCTCTGCCTTACAACTATTGACATTTCAGGCCAGATAAATTTTTTTTAAGATTTTATTTATTTTATTTTTAGACAGAGGGGAAGGGAGGGAGGAAGAGAGGGAGAGAAACATCAATGTGTGGTTGCCTCTTGTGCGCCCCTTACTGGGGACCTAGCCCACAACCTAGGCATGTGCCCTGACTGGGAATCGAATCAGCGACCCTTTGGTTCACAGGCTGGCACTCAATCCACTGAGCCACACCAGCCAGGGCTCAGGCCAGATAATTCTTATTGTGAGCACTGTCCCTTTTTCACCCAGCCCCACAAATGCCCCTGCGTCTGACAGCTGTCAGTCTGTTCTCTATGTATGAGTCTGTTTCTATTTTGTTTGTTCACTTATTTTGTTCATTTGATTCCACATATGAGTGAAATCACATGATATTTATCTTTCTTAGGCTGGCTTATTTCACTTAGCATAATGCTCTCTGGATGCTGATTACCAGAGGGAAAGGGGTTGGAGGGAGGTAGAAGAGGGTAAAGCAGGGATAAACGGTGATGGAAGGAGACTTGGCTTGGGGTAGTGAACATACAATACAACATACAGATGATGTATTATAGAACTGTACACTTGAAACCTATGTAACTTTTTCACCAATGTCACCCAATAAGTTCAATAAAAAACAAAAAACATGTAAGAATAAAAATTACTTTAAAAATTAAGAAAATCTTTAGAGACACTAAATTGTGAATCTCATGTATTTTTATGTATCATGATATATTCTCCTTCTTTTGATTTCTTTAAACCATTTAAAAATACAAAATCCATTCTTAGCTTTTAGGCCATACAAAAATAGGCAGCATGCTGAATATGGCCTGACAGCCATAGTTTTGCTGGGCTGACAAAGATAATTCAATGACGGTAGACTGTTCAGTAAGCTGCCTCAATTAGAGGCATAGGGCCTAGTACACAGTAAGTGCTCAACAACACTTGCCAAACTGAACAGCATGACATGTGTATGTGCGCATTTGCGAGTGCACACACATGTGGGCTTGTACACGTGTAGTTTAGCAACTTTTAATGTTTTTGTTTTGCTCTTCGCTATTACTAATGTGTACGTGCAACAAATCTTAATTGCCTGGGAGTTTATTCCTTGCCCTAAAATCTTAAGGCTAGAGCTTTAAAAATCACAATTTCTGTGGAGACAACAAAGAGTTTATACAGATTATTACTTGGAGAGAGAGAGAAATATCACAAATGAATTCAGAAAAATACGGAACATTGGAAAT